CTAGACCGCAATGGCGTGTGTGCGGATATGTTCGCCGCTCATGGCGACTTGCTATCCCAAACCTGTCCTCCCAGAAGGCCCCGAGGAAGCGCCCACCCCGAGAGGCATCGCGACGATCACGACGTCGCCACGGCCGTGCCACATCGTGCCACAGCACGGCGCTGCTGCGCGGCACCCTCAGGCGCCTTGGCGGACGTGTGCGGCGGGGCGACTGGATACCACGATACGGTCTGGAACTTCCGCTTAGCATATCGCGGCAGCGGCCCCAGCGACATGCTATGCCCTGCGAGCGGATGGCGTGAAGCTCCGCTCCGAGGGACAGGAGGCTTAGAGCAGCTCGGGACGTTGACGCTCGGGAGTGGGGACGTGGACAGCGAATCGTGCCAAAGCGTGGTGGGCCAGAATCAGCGAAGCGACACGCGAAGCCAAAGTTCCTGACCGTAAATTCCCCCCGACCCCAGAAGCGGCAGACAGGAACAAGAGACAAGGGATGGACCAGTCTGGATTCGCAAGGGCGTCCGCGGCGACAACACCACGGAAAACGGACCGAATCGACAGCGAAAACTGAACTGACAGGCCCCAAGCAGCCTAGAAGAGCGCAGCGACGCAACCAACGACACCACAGCTGCCTGAGCCGAACCGACCGACAGAACGCAACCGACCGCTGCGCAGCCGAAACCACCGAACCGCGGACACCCTTGATTATGGGGAAACCACAAGGTACCGATGCCGCTACCCCCTGGGGCCTTTCCCGGAATGCATTCTGACCAGGATTTCGAGGCGAATCCAGCGGTGGCGACGAGGGCCTCCAGAGGAGGCCGACAAGGGGGAACACGGGCGGGGAGGGGGGGTAGAGGCATGGGTACCCTTTCCTCTCTGTGGTTCGTGGGTGGCGCTGAAGGTGCAAGCCCCCTCTTGCCGTCCTCCTCGGGATCGCCATCGTAGGAGACTCCATGATGCAGGCCGCCGTGTATCTGCCGAGGCCAGGCGGAGGCTCCGCGTGCAGGAAGTCGAGGTTTTTTCTTGCGATCTGCTCCTCGCGCCCGCTCCACGCGCCCGCTCCACGCGCCCGCTCAATGCCTCCCATTCTCCCTGAGCGCATGCACATCCTTCGCCTCCTCCTCCTCCTCCTCCTCCTCCTCCTCCACCTCTTCCTTCTCCTCCTCCTCCTCCTCCTCCTTTCCTCCGCCTTCTCCTCCTGTCCACCTCCTCCTTTCCTCCTCCCTTCCTTTCCTCCTCATCCTCCGCCTTCTCTCAGCTTCCTCCTCCTGTCCTCATCCTGCTCCTCCTCCTCCTCCTCTTCCTGCTCCTCCTCCTCCTCCTCCTCCTCCTCCTCCTCCTCCTCCTCCTCCTCCCCCTCCTCCTGTTCCTCCTCCTCCTGCCCTCCTCCTCCTGCTGCTCTTGTTCCTTCTCATCTCCCCGTGAGTTGGCACCGCTGGAAAACCCAACAGTCTGAGCATCTGGAATGTAGCCCGCCGTGGTTCAGAACTTGTTCTGAACTATAGCGCACGTGCATCCTGCATTCTGGTCATTCTGCTCTCTTTGCTGGGCGAGCACCGCACAACCACTGCCTCCAAGTGCAACATCCGGTGCCTCGTCCTCGCCTTGACACACACACATTTGATGGACGCATCTACCAGGCTAAGCACACGCCGCTGGGTTCACGTGCGGAGTGAGCGGAGGCCGCACGCTGCGTACAGGTGCGGAAGGCTTGCGGACAGGAGCGCTTGGCCATACAAGGACCGGTCGGGCCGAGGGCTGGAAGCATGTGCAACGCCATGAATATTCAATTATTACCCAGGCTGGCCGCGTCATGTGTTTCCAGCCAGCATCCTGGTAGGACCTGCAGAGCCGTAGTAGCCAGGCAGAGCCGTAGTAGCAGCCATCCTGTACCTGATCACTGCGACCTAGTTCTTATTCACCACGGGCGGCGTCGAGATCCGCGCGCGCGCGCGCTCGCAACCACGCAGAGGGCCTGGCTGCGGAGAAACGCAACAAACAGATTGAGAAACCAGGCTGCCAAAAACACAAGACACGAAAGGACCGCAGCGGCACGTACGCTGGCAAGCAGCTAAAGAGGATACATATTTCCCCACAAACAAACAATGACTGTACTTAGGTGTTCTTACAAGTTGTTCGTGAAGTATGAGCCCGACAACAAGAAACCTTCCACAAGAAACCAAACGATCTTTTGGTGTGGGAACGTCCACGCTTTCCGTCGCAGAGCCATCGAAACCCACGGCCGGCGGCTGCGCGGGTGGTCGCCCAGCGGCCGTCCAAAGGGGCGCCTTGTGCGCCGGCTGGGCTCTCCGAGCGTGTTCGTGGCGCCTCCTGGGAGCCTCGTGAGCGATCCCTGCGTTGGCCTGTGTGTCGAGATGTGCAGGTAGCTTGCACCGCACAGCTTGCGCCACATGGCCCCAGCCTCGGCCTCGGCCTCGGCCCCAGCCCTGGCCCTGGCCCCCAGCCGCGGCCCCAGCCCAAGCCCCAACAGAGCCCAAGAGGCTCCCAAGAGCGCCCCAAGGAAGGCTCCAGAGCCTCAGCGTCGTCGCAGTCGCCGCTGCCGCCGCCGCCGTCGTCGTCGCCGTCCCCCCTCAGGGTCGGCGGCACCGGCCGCTAGGCCTTCCCAATAGCTTACACCACACAGCTTGCGCCACATGGACTGCACCACGCCATTCCTTCTAGACAATAACCCCACATGCCGAGGCCGGAGTTCTCTCCGCTCCCCCTGCGCTTCTCTTCTGACACCTGGTCTGCACGATCGCCGACGTTGGACCTCGAATCGAACAATTAGGGGGCCACATGCGCACCCGACCCCTACCCCCCACGATTTCTGGGGGTGTAGGGTGGGGTTCACTGCGTTCGGGAGCTCCCGAGCGAAGTGAACCCCACCCTCCCCCTTCAGAAATCGTGGGGGGTAGGGGTAGGGTTCGCATGTGGCCCCCTAACAATGCCAGCCAGGCCCGTATCCCCTTCTACCCCTCATTCCTGACAAGTGCGCTTCATCAACGTTCCCATCGAACAAAAACTCGCGTGACATGTGCGCACGACCCCGCGCGCGCGCGTATCAAGCTCACAACGTCTTCAGAAGACCATTGTCGCTCGAACCATGTCAAGAAATCAGCCACCGTACCCCGAGGCACTGAGTGGAGTGCTCTCAGGTCCCTTCGAGTCCTCTGTCTGTAAGGGGGCCGCAGCCCCAAGTCGTGGACGCTCTTTGGCGCTTCCTGGACTTCCCGCGTGCTGGCGCGTGTCTCCGCGTGACTTCTCGGGAGGCAGGAGGGCTCCCTAAACGGGCCACGGCGCCGAGTCGCCCCCACAGATCGCTCCAGGACGCCCAAGATGGCCTCACGACGGCCCATGAAACCCCCAAGACGACCAAAGAGAGCCCCAGGAGTACAAAAAAAAGTGAGCCCCGAGAGGGCAACCCCATTTGTTACCCATAGGTGTTGCAACGATTTTGCGTTCTCAACTGCTTGGGCTCCCGACGCACTAAGACTGCCCAGCGGAGCCCCACAAATCAGAACAAGACAGCCCAAGAGGACCCCAAGAGGGCCCCAAAAGCGGCCCAAAGAGGGCCACAGGCCGGCCCCTAATTCGGCCCCATAGAGCCCCAAGAGGGCACACAACAGGGAGAACAGGGACTTACGTCTCGAGCCATCCGCCCCATGAAGACCCCCGAGACCGCCAGCAGGCTCCCAACAGGCCCCCAGAATCCCCGGGGGTCCCCAAGAGGCCGAGACCACGCCTCAAGAGGCCCCCAAGAGGCCCCCCCCCAGGAGCACAAAGACTCCCCCAAACCACGTGCCAAAGTTTCCGAGTGGCCACCCACGAGATCTCTACAGGCATCCAAGAGCAACTCGGGCACAGTGGCAGGATCGACCGAGGGCACACACACATTTATATACGTGACTATATATATGTGTGTGTGAAAGCCCATCCGGTGTATATATCTGTGTGTATGCACAGATGCGTTTATGCAATGAGCAAATCCCAACACATTCGCACGCACACACGCGTATCTATATATATATATATATATACATATGATCCAGGGTCGAGGGTTCACGGGCCCCCCCCCAGATGGTATGGTCCCAGGATTCATCGGGCCCCCCCCCCCCCAGATGGTATGGTCCCAGAGACGACGACGGCGACGACTACGACGACGGCGACGACGACGACGACGACCACGACGACGACGACGACGGCTGCGGCGGCGACGACGCCGGCGGCGGCGGCGACGACGACGATGACAACGATGACGACGGCGACGACGACGATGACGACGACGACGACGATGACGATGACGACGACGACGACGACGAGGACGACGAGGACGACGAGGACGACGAGGACGACGACGACGACGACGACGACCTCTGAACCACCACAGCACCACACCACATCCACAGGGGGGGGGGAGGGGGGCACCACAGCGCAGCACCACGCCACGCCCACTTCTGAACCACCACAGCACCACACCACATCCACAGGGGGGGGGGCCACCGCAGCGCAGCACCACGCCACGCCCACAGGGGGGGCCGGGGGGGACCATCGCGCCGGGGGGGGGGGCCCAATGGCATCAGCATTGGGGGGGGGGGGGGCCCAAGCCCTGGACCATATATACATATAAACTTATGTTACCTAGATGTGTACACACATGTATGCATATAGCTATGACTATGCATGCGCAAACAGAGATACGATTCACTGCCCCACCGCGGCTGTCCCAGCAAAGAATTATTAGCATCTGTGTGTCTGCCACTCTGCCGAAGGACACCATGCGGGCCACGCGCGCGCATACCGACAACATGCAACCATTATCGCACACCCGCCAACTCTGTCAACAGCTACAGTGCGGGCCACACGCGCCCCTCTGCGCTCGTGCGCACGTCGGAACCACCACGACGAGACCGACTTGATGTAGCATCCCGCCACGGATCAAACATGCACAAACGGATATATATATATATACAGATAGAGAGAGAGATACATAATAAGACGCTGTCAGAAGATCTGGATTGCCGCGCGAGCACTCCTTCATTATCCTCATCGGCACCGTCGTTAGAATCCTTACACGAGTCGTCATCGCCGAAGCCATCATCAACATCATATGTATTACTATCAACGTCGTCGTCGCCATCATCCCCACCGTCGTCATCAACATCTACATGATCATTGTCATCGTCAGTGTCGTCCACTCTCTTCATTAGCGCCACCATCACCATCATCACCATCAACACTCGCATATCCGACTCACGGATCTACAAAAGATGAGCCCTCGCATCACCAGCCAGCCAGCCAGCCAGCCAGCCACGCCACTTGAATTTTGCCAGAAACCTTGGTGGCCGGTATAATCGCTCATCTTTCATATCTCCTCTATCCTCCCTTCCGCTTTCTTACCTGGTCAATAGTCCTATTGTAGGGTCCGCGCTAGTTACCCGCGTCGGGCAAAAAGAAGCAACCCCGTATGGAGGTACGATCTAAGAGGAGGAGGGCGAGTATCGAGGGATCGGGGCACACCTTCTGAGCGACACGCGAGCAAACAGCAGCAAGAGCGGTCACGTTTCATATGATTCTGGACGGGTGGAGCCTTCCACCCCCGCGCCAGGGGAACCTCGGCCATACTGGGCGACCTGCTCCCCCGATGTAAGAATGGGTGCCGTCTCGTTCTGGTGTCGCAGTGCCCATCGCCACCTGGAGGGTGTACGCTGGGAGAGCTGAACTACCCTGTGTCAATCGGGGTAGGAATTGCCATGAGAGGGGGAATGACGGTTGTTACTCTTATAAATCGGTGCCAATGGTATGCTCTTATACATCGGTGCCAACCAAGCAGTGCAAGCCCCTTGCTTCTTCGACCACAACAATATATTGTGAATCGACGCTCGAAGGCTCACGGGAGACATGCTCCCAACGACCCGCTTGGTCAGGAGCCCAAGACTGATACTGCAATCGCGGGGTAAGTGGGTCCCCACTTGTTAATCAATACCCCTCCTCCTGTCTGCTCAACCCTCCTCGGTCACTTCTGCCGCCTCAGCTTCATCTGCCTCATTTGCCTCCGCCCAATCCTTCCCCTTCACCACCGCAGCATTGGCATCGCCCTCAGCCAGAACATCCATTCCTGGGCACTCTCATGCCACGACAGTCCTCGTCGAATCCACTTTTCAAAAGCCTCTTGTTGATCAGGAGCGATAAAGACACAGACAGCATCAGGGGCGGCGTAAGGCTGAGATTGTTCGCTGCCTCCGAGGCCAGACGGGAAGGTGTGCTGGTCACGGTGCAACCGCACAACGATCAATGTGTTACAATTCACCTTCCTAGTTATCCGTTGCTTCTCTCGCTTCTCAACTTGTCAAGTTTGAGCACATGCTGCGTGGCATGCATCATAAGGCTGTGTATGGTATTACCGTATAAAGCCCGCCATCATCGTCGACTCATCAAGTTGGCTTTCCCAGGACATGAGCTAAACATATGATGCCGACCCTGCGCCACTTGCAGCTAAATCTGGCGCGAGCGTTCTATACAATCGCGACAACGCCCAACCAGCATTGCGGCATCAAGCTATCCATAACCATCCTTACTACATTGCATGGGCTGGTGCCAAAACATACGGCGCTGCAGACGGAACACAACCTATCTTGATCAATTGACGTAATGTCCCTTTCTGCCCTAACAGTTGTGGCATAGTCCCAAAGAAAAGGATCGATTGAAGGTAGACCAGCGCCTCGACAATAAAAACGACGACGCCCATCGAGATCTGCTTGAAGCCAGACAGCATGGCAGCCGCGCCGATCATAGCATAAACGCCTCACCCGCTCTGGGGAGGAGGAGGAGGAGGAGGAGGAGGAGGAGGAGGAGGAGGAGGAGGAGGAAAGGCGGAGGACCAGGAGGATGAGGACGAGGGAGAGAGGGAGGAGGACCCACGGGGAGGCGCATCGAGCTTCAAGCCCCTGCGCTCGTGCCCTGTTGTGCGAAAGACCCACCTCCCCACAGTGCGTTTGAGGTACACCTTGCTTTAGGTCGGGCCTGTCCTCCTACAGGCGGGTTTGGGAAGAACAACTTGTAGAAAAGTCAAACACTGCTCAAACATATAGAGTTACACACAGTGCAACAATCGTCCCCAGACTTTGTTTGACCAATTGTTGAATAGTCCTCCTGCAGAAATGCAGGCCCGATTCGAAACTTGCGCAGTACGGTGAGCGCGCACGTGCGAATGCAAAAACCTGTCACGACAACAACACGAACCAACACACGTGCATGCTCCGAGGCCTGCGCGTGCTTCCCGGGTCGGCGCCGCCCCCCTCCCCCGGGCAGCACCCCCAACGCTTCCGACGGGAATAAAAATGCTGCAATACGAGCTCGCATATCCATTTCATTTGCAATGCCTGCCAGATGATTCATATTGCAGTTCAAGTTGCCCCAGGAAGTTCGTAAGGCAGTGCTGGCATATTCATACGACACGACGCCCTTCCCTGCAACCCTCATGAGGTGCCCCAAGCCCCAAGCTTCCTGCGGGTCCCTGATGCCAGGCCTTGGAGGCAACGGCAATTTTCCATTGGGCTCCTCCTGACAGGCTGATCTCTCATCCGGCATGCCCAATGCAATCGTTTCTGGGGCCCGGGACAATCGCGCCGACATCCTCGGAGGTTCGGTCCTCTGAGCAGAACGGGACCCCCGCCACGGTCAGGGGACCGTCATGTGGATCCGGTGGCGCCGTTTCTCTGCGCCGTGCTCCTCCAGTCTCCCCAGCTCGGAGGCACTGTGGACGTCTTCGCTGGGCGAGGCCCGGGCTCCTCCTCCTCCTCCTCCTCCTCCTCCCCCCCTCCTCCCCCCTCCTCCCCCCCTCCTCCCCCTCCTCCCCCTCCCCCTCCTCCTCCTCCTCCTCCTCCTCCTCCTCCTCCTCCTCCTCCTCCTCCTCCTCCTCCTCCTCCTCCTCCTCCTCCTCCCAGGGACTGGGTGCTCCGCCCTGGAGTCCAGTGCGCTGGGGTAAGTGGCGTCGGGGCCAGAGGCCTCGGGTCCCGTGCGGGGTCCAGGGCGGCCCGGACTGGTGCCGACCCTCCTGACCGCTCCCCCCGACGGGGAGAGGCCCCGACGCACGGAGCTCCAGGCAGGCCCGAGCATGCGCTGGTGTTTTCAAGGGCCTCCCCCGATCGATCGATGGCTCCCGGTGTCCGAGGAGAAAGAAGCACGCTCTACATCTAAACGTGTGGCGCTCCGCGCGGGTTTCCTGGAGCTGCGCTGAACCCCCCCTCCCTGGCGCGCGGAGCGCAAGGTGGGGCGAAAAGTTAGGAGCACCTTGGGCCAGGATCACCTCTGGCCACCTCCGATTTCTCAGGGGGGCATCGAGCCACGGCCACCGATGGACACCCCATCGACACGTACGAATCAGCCTAGAGGTGCCCAGGTGTCCTTCAACAACATCTCGGGCTGCCGAGCTTTCGCAACCAGTTGATGGACGTGGCTGCGCTTGAAGAAAGGTGGGGTGGGGGGGGAACGCCATTGCCAACACGCGGCGTTCGCCGCGTGCGGACACAAGACCGAAGCTACGTGCGTCGGCACAGGGGGATGATTTTACCATGTGGTCACCATCGCGCAAGCATGAGGCATTTGCGACGGACGCTCCCTAACCATACAAGGGAGGAGGATGCTACGACTTGCGCCGCACCTCTGGCTCGCTACGCCGCACCACCGCGGTATGGCTCGCGATGCACATGCAAGGCAGGAGAACGGGACGCGTGGCCGAACGCCAGCAGGACACATAGCATACTCAGTGCTCGACCCGACACACGAGAAAAAAACGAAGTGAGTTTCGGAGCGAAGTTCGCAATGGCATTGGATGGTTTTCTCGCGGCGCTCAAGTGCGTGAGTGCTGCTTAAAACACGGCACCGCGCTTGAATTCACAACCTACTCCGAGATACACTTCGAAAGTCGCTTCGCTATCAACTTTGAGAGTCACTTCACCATCGACCCTGTCTTCTGGGACCAGAATTGGGTACGCGCCGCTCGCGTTCGGGAGCGCGTCCCATGTTCGCGCTCATCTGCGCTGCTCGTCGCATGCGACACCGTGATGCGTGGGCGCGTTCCCAAACGTGATGAAAACGCATGATAATGCACGAATGCTAGACAAGATGCAACATTAAGAAACCAATGCGAGATTCACAACTGTTTTCAATTGCCATCGCGCTGTAGCCTGGAATCTCCAACCCTCCAGCCGCGCCTGGAACAGCGAACTCCACCTTGAAGTTATCGTTGTCCCCCAAGAAAGTGTTCATTTCTGGGAGCGCTGGGACCAAATACATGTTCACGAGAGAACCCATGAGGCGCCCAATAAAAGCACCAATCAGTAAAGTCCCAGTAAAGTTCCCAGAAGGCACAGGTACACCAGTCAGGGCGATGTTCATCGCGGTGTACGGGACACGCCGACCCCCATCAGCCAGGGGTGTGAGGCTAGATGAGACTGCGCAAGACTGCCAACATATTTCGAACGGTGCGTTCGGATGCAAGGTGTTGGAACAAACGGGTTTGGTGGGCAACCGACGCGCGTGCACGTTCACATGCACGACAATGCCACCATGGTGAAACACGTGATTCATAGGACGTATGACCGTGAGGCGGGGGATATCCAGACGACGTGGCGGGGCGCCCGTATCTCAGCAAACATCAACGGCACTGCCAAATCGGCTATGCCACCAATGGAAATGACAATAGTGCACCGTCGGCGTCTGACTAGCATCCCACGCTGCGCTGCTGTGCAACAGAAGCATATGTGCAAGTCGAGCGTGGCTACTGTTGAACACGATGCCATCTACGTTGACTCATCCCATTCAGTTGCACACGAGGCGAAAGCCTGTGATGTGACGCTACGCTCGGCTAGAATGCACTGCTCAACAATTTCCAATGATACATTCCATAGAATGTCAAATGCACTTACACTGCGTAAAACTGTCGAATTCTACGATGCATCACAATGGTACGTGCCACGCCGGCATGACCCACGCGCATGTACGGCTCAATGCAACGTACCGTGCTGACAGAAACGTCGATACACGTACGCGCGTATGTACACGTTCGCGTGTGCTACACATGTACGGGGCCTGCGAAGTGTTCACGAAGACGCCCGAACACTGCCACACGCCTTCTCTCAAACTATGTTGCACAACATACTCCATGGACGTCAGGCATACCCAACGACCCATTCCACGTACGACAATATGCCGAAAGGAAAGCGATACCTGAAATGATGCAACTGGGTTGGAAATCGCTGGGACTCGCTCAGACGCAATCCATGCATAGCACTGTTCGCCCGACCGAAGGTACGTGTCCAACGAAATGTCGAGTAGGATCGTTGACATACTTACTCGAGCACTGCTAACAAAGACATATCAAGAGGCCCGACAAGAGGGGAACACAAACCATCCACAATTGAAAATCGGCAGAAACATAAACCTAGCTTCCCAGTCGGACAACAGGATGGCAAACTCACACCTGGATGTGTAATAGCCAATCAAGAACTGCATCAATTGAATGCTTGATTCGCGCAGATCGGCAACAGCCTCCAAAATAAATGCCAAAATGAGGTTCAGGGGGCCTATGTCCGCCACCCCTCCTGTGGGGATCCTGGTGTGAGGATGACGGCGAATGCCCTTGGGCATTAGTTTCCCACCGCGAAACGCAGCCCCAAAGCGACTTCTCGCGCGTCCGCCAGAAGTGTGAAACCAATCGTGTTGCCACGACAATGGTGCGGCACTGCCGGCGTCAAGGAGGAAGGGGCGAGAGAGGAACATTCTAGAGTCAATGCTCCTGGCACCACGGATGCTGCAAGTATCACCAACAAATCTTGTCGTGCAGAACGGCGAACCCTATGGCAATCTGGATCGTCCGACGATGCCGTGACGCGCCGCTGACCGTGTCGTGCTGTGCCGAGGGCGTCCGGGCAATCTCATCATGGAGCCACGGGCGCGGCGGCGAGAGCGCGATGCCTAGACGGGAGTGCGGCTCGCGCTGAGTCGGGAGGACACCTCAGAGGTAGCAGCGTGGCCGGTGCCAACGCTTAGGTCGGCATGTCCTCCTACAGGCGGATTTAAGGGACAAATGAAAAAATTGGCAAAACCAAAACTAATCACAAAAGAACAAAACATAGAACATCGTCCCCATTTGTTTCGGACTATGTTTGCATATTCCTCCTGCAAAGGGACATGCCCGATGTAAGCGAAGGCGGGAGCACGACTCCCGGGCTGAAGTGCGGCCGGGCACCTCGGGGAGAGCACGGCGGCCCCATGCGGGGCACTTGCGTGCTGCACCTGTCTTCGAGCCGGCGCGGACGCTGGTCGGGCCCGTGTCCGCAATGACTGCCGACGCAGTTTTATAGGAGCCCCTCGCAGATGCCAAGCACTGTTGCGCGGGAGCCCGCTCGACAGAATACCGCCTCTTTCCCTCGGCCGTCCTATCAGAGGCCGCTCTCTCGCGGATTCCGCGAGGACGAGAGGGCACCGTCATGACGGTGACCCTCTGCGCACCACGCACCAGGCGCCCATCACTGGATCAGCGCCTGCACTAACATCCCCAGAAACACCTACACTTAGGTCGGACGTGTCCCCCTACAGGCGGATTTTGGTGGAAACATAAAACAAACACATATCCAAAAATAGTCAAGCATAGTCAAAGAAATCGTCCCCATACTATTTTTGTTGCTATTTTTTGGATATTCCTCCTGTAGAAGGACATGCCCGACTTAAACCTACACAAATCCCCCGGAGGCCAAAGGCAGCGGCCTCCCTCCGCCAGAGGCTCCACGGCAAAGCCAGGATAATGCTAGGTCAGGCATGCCCTACCACAGGTAGATTTTGGACGAGAAATCAAAATACAAAATGCTCCAACATAATCCAAAATAGTCAAAGCATCGTCCCCAGACTAGTTTTCTATGTTCGAATATTCCTCCTGTAGAGAAACACGCCCGACTTAAGGATCATGGGGTTCGGGTAGACGGGGTCGGATGGTCGCACCGCATCGCCGATGCACCGCCGACCTCGGTGATGCACTGGCGACGCAAACGTGGAGAACATCTGGCTGCACATCGAGCCGCATCGCCGACGCGTCGGCGATGCGGCGCGATCCACCGACCCAAACCTGCTCGGACCCCATGTGGGAGGCCTGGACGGCAAGGAGGCGCTGCGAGACTCGAGGCGTGGAGGTGGCTCATTTGGCCGAGGGTCCCCGCCCTCCCCGAGAAGCCAATTCCTTCGCACTGCCCGTCTGACGACCTGCCAAGCCACCCCAACCTGACCCGAAGACCAGATTTCGGGCCGGGGAGGGTACAGGCAGCCCGTACCATGAGCATGCACGGTGAGGATGCAAGGGCACTGGAAGGACATGTGAACGTTTTCGGAACATGATTGGCCGGCGAAGGTCGCCGAGGATGGGCCGAGGAGGCGAGGATGCAGAGGGTACCCCTGGGAGAGGGGCGCATCCTCACTCTGCGGGCTGGCTGCACGAGTTCCACGTGTGCCGCTTGGGCAACGCAAGGCAAATCTAGGGCCTTCGGGCTGGGTTGGGGTGTGGCTTGGCGGGCGGTGGCCACCGTGGCTGAGCAGGGACCCACCGTCCCGACATTCCCATAGTCCTACCACGACATGCTCTTAGAACCCCAACTTGTTCCAAAGACAAAAACAATGTTCTTAGAACATAAATCCGATGTGCTAAAACAAGACAGTCCCAGCCAGACATGTTCCAAGAACATTCCGTGGGAACTACAGAAAAGTTCTTAGAACACTGCCTGGTGGGACTATAGGCGAGCCGGGACGCTTCGCCACCGCTTGAGCTTAGGTGGGTGGTGGCCACTGTGGAGCCCAGGCCACGCGCCAAGCGCGCGCGCGAGGGCCGTCGGAGGGCTCCGGGCCCAGGCCGTCGTCGGGCCGCTCCTGCCCGCAGAGCGGCGCGTCGACCCCGACCCGAGGGATCGGCCGCGATGCCGACCCGAGGGGTCGGCGATGGGCCCCCGGATGGCAGAGCCGCACGGTCCCGACGGGGTCGGCCGTCAGGCCTGCACGCCCAGTCCGTACCACAGAGGCTGCGCGGCGAAGGCGCCAAGGGGCCCCGGAAGGCCGTCTCGGAGCTTGGCGGGGACGCGTGCGGGCTGCGCCACTCGGACCTGCGGCGGAGCTCCTCTGGGGCTACGGAGCTTGTGAAGGGCAGGTGCGCCGAATAGATGGCGAGGACGCATGCGGGCTGCGCCTCTGGGACCTTCGGCGCAGCTCCCTACGGGGCCACGAAGCGTGTGAGGGGTGAGTCAGAATGCGTGGCGTGGACGCATGCGGGCTGCGCATCTTGGACCTTTGGCAGAACTCCCCTGGGGCCACGAAACGTGAAGGGTGTGCTGAAATTGGTGGTGGGACGCATGCGGGCTGCGCCACTGGGACCTTCGGCGGAGCCACGAAACGTATACGGGGTGTGCTCAAGCGGGTGGAAAGGACGCATGGAGCCACGAAACGTGTGAAGGGTGTGCCGAGATGGGTGGCGGGGGCGAATGCGGGCTACGTCACTGGGACCTTCGGTGGAGTTCCTATGGGGCCACGAAACGTGTGCGGGGTGTGTCAAAATGGGTGGCGAAGACGCATGCGTTTTGCGCAACTGGGACCTTCGGCGGAGCTCCCTACGGGGCCACGAAACGCGTCAGGAATGTGCCAAAGTGGGTGGCGGGGACACGTGTGGGCACCGCCACTGGGGCCTTCGGTGGACTTGGCCACGAAACGCGTCAGGAGTGTGCCACAAATGGGTGGCGGGGTCGCATGCGGGCACCGCCACTGGGACCTTCGGCGGAGCTCCCTACGGGGCCACGGAGCGTGTGAGGGATGTGCCGAAATGGGTGGCGGGGACGCATGCGGGCTGCGCCATTGGGACCTTCGGCGGAGCTCTCTATGGAGCCACGAAGCGTGTGAGGGGTGAGCCCAAATGGGTGGCGTGGACGCATGCGGGCTGCGCCACTGGGACCTTCGGCGGAGCTCTCTTCTATGGAGTCACGGAGCGTGTGAGGGGTAAACCGAAATGGGTGGCGTGGACGCATGCGGGCTGCGCCACTGGGACCTTCGGCGGAGCTCTCTATGGAGCCACAAAACGTGTGAAGGGTGTGCCGATCTGGGTGGCAGGGACGAATGCGGGCTACGCCACTGGGACCTTCGGTGGAGGTCCTATGGGGCCACGAAACGTCTGAGGGGTGTTCCGAAATGAATGATTGGGATGCACGCGGGCTTCTCCACTTGCACCCTCGGTAAAACTCTCTATGGGGCCACGAAACGTATGACGGGAGCGCCGATGTGAGAGGGGTGACGGGAGGAGGGAGGGAGAGGAGGAGGAGAAGAGGAGAAGAACGCGGGGCGCTGTCTCTTCAAAACGAGGACCCCACACCACGAGATTGTTGGGAACGAAAACTTCCTTCGTCGCCGACATAGTCCAATGAGCAAGGCCGCGCCGGAACCGAATCTCTGTCGCCGGGTACCCGGAATGGCAGGGACCCCGGCAAACATCCACGAACAAGGCTGCCGTCCAGCACGCCTATTGGAGCCGTTGCGTAAGCTGCACCCAACCAAACTACGAACAAGAGATAGGCTGTCGTCCGGCACTTCCCTCTTTCCCATATTCGCACAAATTCGAATCTGGGTTGGAAAGCAAAGGATCACGTAATTTCCGGCGGTGGTTCGCCTGAGGCGTCTCGGATACCCAGTGTGTGTCTGCGAGAACAATCTCCGCACGGCTCCCTCAGACGTGGTAAGTAACAAAGATGCTGCCGGATTGAAAGCACCATCCACGCAGCCAAATTGCACCCATGATCCAGCAACCAGGGCGTTTGCCTTGAAATCATGGTTGCACCTTCCCATGAAAGAAAAGAAACAATATATCAGGACCGTGGCAATTGCGAATAGAACAGCCTCTACCATCTTCGAGATGGGCAAGCTGTGCGACGAGAAAGGCACGGTGATGTTCCAATGCCGCGGCGCCAAGGCGTGCATCTGGAGATAGCTTCGTTTCTTTATGCATCTCCGCAGTGGGCGGAGGACGCTTCTTAAATCTCTGCGGTTCTGGGAGGCCCATCTGCGGGTTAAACGCACGAGTATATCTTGTTAGACAACGAGTGCGAATGAGCAGCGGAAGCATAGAACTCGAGGACACGCAAGGCTTGCGCTCGATCTGAAAGACACCCGAGAGCAAGCACAAACCAAGAGCTGAAGCGGGTGGAGACGGAGAGGGGGGGGAGCAAGTCTTGGTTGGGCTCTCCAAGGCCACACAAAGGGCCATGACCACAGCAGAATGATCAGGGGGGGGGGGCAAGTCTGGTCTGATTGCGAGTTCTGTTCACCGTGTGGGTGGGGGTAGGACTCGCCTTACAAGCTGGCTTCAGCGCGCCAGAACGGGGGGTCAGGAGGGGCGCGAGGGGGGTGCTCATGTAACAACTCGCAGGGCGCCCTCTCCCCGCACTCCTGCGCCGAATATTGCCGAACACGATCAATCGGGACTGCTCAGAGCAATGAACAAAGGGCCGCACCGACGTCAAGTCGTGGGTCTGTCACGGGCCCCACAGGATCACATCGTTGCGAAGACTGGCGAGGGGTTTCCTTGGAAACGTGTCGTGGAAAGTAACGTTCATGGAAGCGGCCCTAGAAATCGCTGGCCACCAGAAATATCGACAAAACTACAAACATCATCTCGCACACAGCCACGGAATGTGCTGGGCAGATGGGATACAGACATCTCAACAGAGATGGCAATTGACCTGGGCATGCGAGGTAGAAACATATTGACCTATCTGTTGAGGATGCCCTGCATACACATCGGGGCACTTACAGAGCGTCGAAGCGAACATGCTGCATTCATCCCTCCTACCCCTGCCCTATCCTGGCATACAGATTGAACTCCAGTCGGTCGACGACCCGTGAAGTAAGTGTTGACCATCGAACAAGGAAAACTGCACCCAACCATTAACTTTCGGAGGTCCGCGTGGATTTCCTGGCTGGGCGAACCCGGGTCAACACAAACCTGGGTCGGCCAGGGCCCTGTCGCGAAGTTCGTCCAGCCGCTGACGAGCTAACAAACCACGGTCAGCAGAGGGCGGAAAAAGGGAACGGCCGCACATGGCGGGTCTCGGAAACACTGAGTGAGAGGCCTCCTGGATGGGGTCGGAGTAGATGGGGTCGGGGGAACGCGCCGCATCGCCGATACATCTGCGATGCATCGGCGAAGCCTCGGCGATGCACCGGCGATGCACCGGCAATGCATCGTCGACATGGGCGATGCATCGGCGACGCCGGCGTGAAGCAAATCGGGCTCCACATCGAGCCACGTCGGCGATGCATCCGCAATGCGGCGCGATCCTCCGACCCCACCTACCCCGACCCCATCTGGGAGGCTTAGACGAGTCCAAAACTATTGGCATCTGCTGGGGTGACTGGTTCTCCTTTCGCAGCCTCCCGCTGGCCGCCCACACGCGTCCGCCGGTGGAGCCGCCGCCGGCTTGCTCTCGCCGGCTTCCATCGCCCTTCCGCCACCTTCCGCCGAGGAGCAGGAGGGAATGCAAAAGTCCCGATCCCACGAAAGCGATGCCATCGTCTGGAATGCCTCGCGCGACTCCCAAATCCGGGCACGCCAGCGAGAGTCGGCTCACTCCCGTCAGCGCTTGCCTGGTTGCACGGTTGCAAAGATGTGGCCCCAAGTCCAGTCATGGAGCAGGAGAGGACAGAAGCATGAAGAGGGACAGCTGGGGAAGCAACAAGGAGAAGCAGGGCGGCCGAGAGGAGGGAGGAACAGTGGGAAGGTGATTCCGAAGTCACCAGGAGACAAATGACGGGCAGAGTTCCTCCTCCCCTCACTCCTCCCAGGCGCGCGGAGCGCTCCCCGACGGCGCGGGAAGTGCCGCCAGGATGGAGGGCCCCAGGGACACACAAAGCCGCCGACTCTGTGTCGGCGTGTGTGAGGGGCTTGTCGATTCCCACCGTTCGCTCGTCGTCGTCTCCGTCGTCTCCTGTCCCTGCGCCCACCCTTTCCCTGGGCCAGTCGTCTCCTGTCCCTGCGCTCCCCCCTTCCCTGGGCCCGTCTCCCCTCCTCCCCCCATTCCCCCTCTTCCCTTAGCCCGTCGCCGCTCCCCCCCCCCGCTTTTTCAAGGCCTCCCCCTCAAGAGCAGCGCTGTCATTGAGTCGAAGAGAATCCCCTTCCCTGCCGGGGGGCAAGGGGTCCCGAGGGGGGGGGGGGGTCCCGCGTCAGATACGATTCCCCCCCAGGGGGGCCCGGGGCCCACACAAAGCCTCAGACAAGCCAAGAGCCGAGGCATTCTACCACGCCCTGTCCTCCCTTCCCCCATCCTCCCTCCATCGGAGAGCCTCTGCCAATGCGAATGGGAAAAAGCGAGGGTCAAATAAAGAGATTATCATATGGTGTCCTACCGTCGGAACAATTTTCCCTCCTGCCAGGAACGCGGGGAAGGGGGGGCAAGCGACGGCTCCAGAGATCGACGCGGACCTCCGACGATGTGTGTTTAGCTCGCTGTCTGTGGTTCGGCGCGCGGGGATCGCGCACGACGAAGCCAGGACGAGGATTGAAGCGGGTGAGGATAGATCGGACATCTCTGAGATCCAGCGGCTCTGGAAAATGCCTCGCGCGCCGCGGCTTCTCGGAGCGTCCGGAGCGTTCTGGAACGCCCTGGAACGGACTTGTCCTCGTCCCAGTCCCGTCTGGTTCAGGTTCATGGTGCTCCCATCTTGCTTAAGGACCACATCTCGAAACTACTTTCGAGCATTCAAAAAATATCGAAACAATGTCGAGCGAGTATCGCCTCCCAGGGCCCGACACGTGAACGTCCTCGAGGTTCGGTACTTTTTTGGTGCTCGAAATTACTTCTGGTGGTCGAGGCTAAAGAAGGCTAGAATATCAGAAGTTTAGGTCGCTTTCTATGGCTCGGCGCGCGGGGAGCGCGGCTGCGCGGCGGTGGGCGGAGGCGAGGCAAGGCCGTCCTGCTGCCTGATCGCCCCAGACTTGAGCGCCAGCTGCGTGTGGAGCACGCTGAAACGGCCGAGCACCACGGACAAGATCACGAAGAAGGGGACGTCCGCCCAATGCCACACGTCCTCCGCGAAGATTTTTCAATGCAGAAAACCAATTTCTGCATTTTGAACTCAAAAAGCCGAGCACCACGGACAAGAGCACGAAGAGGGGGACGTCCGCCCAGTGCCACACGTCCTCCGCGAGGATTGCTGGATTCAAGAAACCAGTTTTGGACCCCCAAAAAAATGCTTAATTCAAGAAGCCGAGCGCCACGACAAGGTCACACAAAGAGGGAGACCTCCGCCCAGTGCCACACGTCCACCGCGAGGTGCCGAGGGCCCTGGGCAACAGTGTCTGACATCTTGGAAAGCTCAGAAACGGACCTTGGAAGATCTCAGGAGACCTCGGAAGATCGTGGAACGTCTCGACGTCGGAGGTCTACGGAAAACCAGATACCCCAGGGTCTTGGTTAACGCTGCGCTGACCCACTGTGTATCCAAGATGATTGAAATACAAAATACACCCTTCAATAAGATATCAATGGCACTTCATTATCTACCTGTTGCCATCCGCTTTAGCAGTCTTAGCCTCGTGCTCGCCATCATCAACATATCTTTCCCATCCACTCCCATCTCCTCTCTTTTATCCTCCTTTCTGCACCTCTTCGGCATTGCCCCTCCAACCTCAATTTAAGATGTTCCTTCCAATTTTGCCACACATGAATCAACCTCGTGGGGCGTTCAACGCAAAAGGTTATCATCCGCTACCGTGTCTTCAACCTCCGTATTTCTCGCATGTGTGATCGTCCTACACATACCATTGACAACATTAACACTCGTATTCGTACTTGTGTTCAGACCCGTTCGCATTCACAAGCACATTCGCATGTGAAGAGCCATGTCTTGAAATGGTTCGAAAGCCAATGCTTGTTTCCATTCGGAGGTGGACACCACACCCAGTTGCAAAACGCCCGTCCAGTGAAATCTCGCAAGGGGCACTCCACCTGCGCACGGCACCGCAGTCCGAGTGCACCCCAGCAAGATCTCTAATCGACATCTGATGTCGAATTCCATGACAGCGGAGACTGCATGCCAATATCGAAGGAATAAGTACATATTTCCTACATAGACGTGTCTGAGTGGTGTTCTCTCAATGCCGGATCGATGACCCTGACAGGAGCACGAAGCGGCAAGCGCATGTGCTCCGCTCGCATTCTTCCATGGACATCTCGTCTGTTCAAACTTTTTACTGAGCTTTTGAGAAACGGGTAGGTGCGTCCCCAAATCTGGAATCTGGCAGGCAACAATATCGTCCGATATCTCCAATTACCTCCCATGCGGGGGACATTGTACCCGGTTCTTCCGATGCCGTCCGTTCTCCTGTGTCTTCCTTATGCTTGGTGGTACCCGTAATAACAAGATGGTAGTCGTATAAGTAGTAGTAGTCGTCGTGGTGATAACAATCGTATTAGTGGTCCTCGTAGAAGTAGGAGTAGTAGTCGTAGTAGTAGTAGTTGTAGTAGTAGTAATAGTAGTAGTAGTAGTAGTAGTCGTGGTAGTAGTAGTAGTAGTAGTAGTAGTAGGTAGTAGTAGTAGTAGTAGTAGTAGTAGTAGTAGTAGTAACAGTAGTACGTCGTCGTCGTCGTCGTAGAAGACGTAGTAGTAATCGTAGTAGTAGTAGTAGTAGTAGTACTACTACTAGTACTAGTACTGGTAGTAGAACTACTACTGGTCGTAGCAGTAGTAGTAGTAGTAGTAGTAGTGATAGCATTAGTAGTAGTAGTAGTAGTAGTAGTAGTAGTAGTAGTAATGGTGGTGGTGGTAGTCGTAGTAGTAATTGTACTAGTAGTCGTAGTGGTAGTAGTAGTAGTAGTAGTAGTAGTAGTAGTAGTAGTAGTAGTAGCCGTTGTAGTCGTGATAATAGTAGTCTTAATAGTATCAGTACGAGAAGTAGCAGTAGTAGTAGTAGTAGTAGTAGT